CTCCATATGACCTGAAAAATATGCAAAATTGCATCAGCATGGAGCTTAACAAGGTAGCACAGTGGTGCTTAAAATGGCAACTGGAGCTTAATACGGCTGAATGTGGATGGATATGCTTCGGCGATACACCACTCAACCTAGACATTACCATAAATTGAGAAGTGTTATCTAGGTTACATACAGTAGTAGACTTAGAACTTAGATATTCTCAAGACTTGTCGTTTACTGAACATATATTAAAACAGACCTCTAAGTCTCAACGTCTAATAGGTTACATAACTCGAAATCTTTACAACAATGAGTCACGTATTCTAATGTACAAAGTTTGTGCTCGACCTATTCTAGAATAGTGCACGTTTATTCTTAGCAGTGCGCTCATAAAGGATAAATTAAGGCTGGAATCAGTACAGAGACGATTTACACTTCGTATTCTTGGAGCTGATTGTACCTTAACTTATAATTCTAGATGTAATAAACTTCGGTTAGACCCTTTATGGAGGAAGAGACTCAAACTAAATCTTATCTTTTTCTTCAAACTACTTCATAAACTATCGTTTACATCCAATCACGCGATTCAATATGCAGAAACTTCTCATTATGACATTCGTAATTCCTTGGCACTAGTGAAACAAACTCATTCTAATCACAATTGATTGATCACTGGGTGGTGATCAATGTCATGCTTGTCTAATCCTTATTAGCGCAGATCGAATGCTATCGAGTAGAAGATACCCGTAAGCTACTAATATTTGACCACAGATGCCTTAGAAATATTGCTGGCATCTGCTGGGATCATCGGGTAAGTAATAGCGAGGTTAGACGCAGGGTATTAGGGAATGATGGTAAATCAGTTGATGAGGTTATGAATCTTCATCGACTGAGATGGTTGGGCCACGTATTACGTATGCCTGAACACCGATTACCACGACGTGCAATCCTAACAGGGGTAGAGGATGGTTGGAAGAAAGTTAGGGGCGGCCAAACCAAAACGTGGCATCAGTGCCTGAAGTCACTAACTTCTAGTCTGAGCCATGTTGGTAGATGCAGACTACTTGGTTGGGGTCCGCGTGACTTTCGTAACCAATGGTTGGAGACTCTTGGTGACATGGCTCAGAATCGATCACAATGGCGTCGGTGCATACACTCCCTGTCTTCCCTTAAACTAAGAGATTAAAATCACTTCATTCTTTCTGTCTACGAACTAATTCTTTCTTCCTATACTATATCCTTATTGCAACCTTTGACCTAACCACTCCTATGAATTCGGTGTTCATCTTGCTGTGCTAATGAGGTATGGCAACCTGGACCGATGCACATATGTGCCTGGTCCTACGTTGTAGCTGACTGACTGACTGAATGCTATCGACCATGTTGCAATGTGGCCACCAGTCTAGGTGACTCGACACTGCGGGTACTCAATATTGAGATTTAGATGGTGGTTGGAGGTAGTCAACAGGAAACCCTGGACCCGGGTTTCGTGATACTTGGCACTCGTCAGCAAGGTGTACCGGTAATCTTGAGGAAACTGGTGCTCCCTGGCAGATTCGATCTCGTGTCACCCAGCTTCACAGTCAGAGACGTTACCACTGAGCTATCCGAGCCGCGACTCACCTCCTGTAGGACTGAGATGTAATCACAATCGATTGATCACTGGGTGGTGATCAATGTCATGCTTGTCTAGTCCTTATTAGTGCAGATCGAATGCGAATCCGCCAGGGAGCGTCAGTTTTCTAAAGATTACAGGTACACCTTGCTGACGAGTGCCAAGTAGCACGAAACCCGGGTCCAGGGTTTCCTGTTGACTACCTCCAACCACCATCTAAAACTCATTCTAAATCATCTCTTCATATGAATTACTTCACCTGTAAATTTTCTAGATTCTGGAATAACCTACCACAATCTATCCGCACGATAAAATCACTCCCATTATTTGTTCGCTGCATCGATTTATACTGCTCCTCTGAAAGTGCATTGAATGGTCTAGCACCTGTAAGTGTATCTCATTCCACAAGTGATATTATAGGAACTTTAATTATTTAGCCATCTTTATTAGTGAATTCCCTAAGTAAAACCACCCACTTGCTGTCAATACGTTAACACCGCCCCTAGCAACTTTAACTAATTTGAATAACATAAACAGTATATCACTGTGTCACATGACACACGCATTTAGGTAGACCTGATTGGCATATTTCGTTAATTACTGCTTTGTTTTTCCGTGCTCTGTGTTTTCGTTTTAATTTCTCTAGTTGTAGATAATTATCATTAATTCGATCTGGCACACGAAATGATCTTAACTACACCGTTCATAAATCAACAGACTGTCCATTTAAGAAAAATTAAAAGTTCCCGTGTGATGCATCGGATCGCTGTAACGCAAGTACTATCTAAACAATTATTGAACTAGCATACTTAAAACTTTCTTCTATCACATGTTTGTTCTGCACGTGTAACGTTACTATTTATATCAAATTGATCATACCTGTAAACTGGCGTGAATTCTGTAATTATTATTTTCAGAATATAAATTATTATTATAAGAAACTCTCTGGAAATCACCGTAAACCAGAACGACCAGTGAAAAGCAAGGAAGGCAAAGTAATCACCAACATTGAAGAACAACGAAACAGGTGGGTAGAATACTTCAGAGTACTCTTAAATCGACCAGCCCCACTGAACCCACACAACATCGAAGCAGCACCCACGGACCTCCCAATCGATGTTGGTCCACCAATAATTGAAGAGATCAGCATGGCCATCAGACAAACCAATGGCTTTAACGCAGCGGGACCAGACAACACTCCAACAGAGACACTGAAAGCAGACGTAGCGGCAACTGCAAGGATACTCCACATTCTCTTCAGCAAGATCTCAGATGAAAAACACGTACCAACAAACTGGAAAGAAGGACACTTGATCAAGATACCAAAGAACGGCGATCTCAGCAAGTGTGAGAACTAGGGAGGCATCACTCCTCTCTCAACACCAGGAAAAGTCTTCAACAGGATATTGTTAAGCAAAATGAAGGACTCCGTAGACGCCCAACTTCGAGACCAACAAACAGGATTCTGTAAGGATAGATCGTGTACAGACCAAACAGCAACTCTATGGATCATTGTGGAACAATCATTTGAATGGAATTCATCACTTTACATCAACTTCACAGACTACGAGAAAGCATTTGATAATATGGACCGGACAACAATATGGAGGCTTCTTCGACAATATAGCGTGCCTGAGAAGATAGTCAATATCATACAGAATTCCTATGATAGATTACACTGCAAAATCGTGCATGGAGGACAGTTGACAAAGTCGTTCGAAATAAAGACCGGTGTCAGGCAAGGTTGCTTACTCTCACCCTTTCTCTTTCTCCTGGTGATCGACTGGATCATGAAGACATCAACATCTGAAGGGAAACACGGGATACAATGGACATCTAGGATGCAGTTGGACGATCCAGACTTCGCAGATGATCTGGCCCTTCTACCTCAAACGCAACAACAAACGCAGGAGAAGACGAACAGTGTGGCAGCATCCTCAACAGCAGTAGGTCTCAATATACACAAAGGGAAAAGCAAGGTTCTCCGATACAACACAACATGCACCAACCTAATCACAATTGACGGAGAAGATTTGGAAGATGTAAAAACCTTTACATATTTGGGCAGCATCATTGATGAACAGGGTGGATCTGATGCAGACGTGAAGGCGCGGATCGGCAAAGCAAGAGCAGCATATCTACAACTGAAGAATATCTGGAACTCAAAGCAACTGTCAACCAACATCAAGGTCAGCATTTTCAATACAAATGTCAAGACAATTCTACTGTATGGGGCAGAAACCCGGAGAACTACGAAAGCCATCATCCAGAAGATACAAGTGTTTATTAACAGTTGTCTACGCATAATACTTCGGATCCGTTGGCCAGACACTATCAGCAACAACCTATTGTAGGAGAGAACAAACCAGATTCCAGCGGAGGAAGAAATTAGGAAGGAGCGCTGGAATTGGATAGGACACACATTGAGGGAAGCACCCAACTATGTCACAAGGTAAGCCCTCACATGTAATCCTCAAGGCCAAAGGACAAGTGGAAAACGAAAGAACACATTACGACGAGAACTGGAGATAGACATGAGAAGAATGAACAACAATTGGATAGAACTAAAAAGGAAGGCCCAGGACAGAGTGGGTTGGAGAATGCTGGTCGGCAGCCTATGCTCCATTGGGAGTAAAAGGTGTAAGTGAATACGCAAGGAATAGGTTAATAATAAATGAATCATCAGAGGGACGATAAATCACAGAACATATGAGCGATTATAGGTTAAAGGCAACAAGCGAATGAAACTTTGGTGTGAATCGACAACTAGGTAGATAGGGATTGGTCTGAGATAATTGGTTGAAGGTGGTCATATATTAGTAATAATAGAATGAATGGAGTGTTTGTTGGGGGGAATATACTCGGATGTAACAAATTAGGTATAAGATAACATCTGATGCAAAGATAAAAGAGACCAGTATAGAGCGAAGAAACTACGTAAATGCGAATAAAGGAATATCAGTGGCCACGTTGAACACAGCGATCTTACATACCGTTTTTATAAGCATCAATCTAATTTTATATTGGTATTGGGAAGGTCTCTGCAATACAAAAAGGTCTGAATTTGCCTTTAGACGGATTCAGTTCGATTTTGCAGATGATCTCGTATTCTGAATCCGATACTACGTGATTATAATTAATTACATACTGTAGGAAAGATGACTTCAAAATTTTGGGTTATCATTTATAGAGAGATATGCTGTCAAGAAATTATTATACTTGCTATCATTGAACGTACAACGATATTTATTATGTTTTATGCCATGCGAAATCTAAATAACTGATGTTATTCACATTTAATATTTAACAAATACATTGTATACTATAATACATCATAGTGTATTCCAAAAATAGTGAACCTCAATCAAACAAACGAAGAGATTATTTGTTTTTTATTTTATCGTCTTCCCTCAACCATGATAATATGATATCCATACTGTGTTTTAACTGGAGGATCAGTGTACTTGGGATTTTCTAAAGTTGATATAGGCAAGTTAAATGCTGCATCCTATGGAAATTTTTTGAAAAAAAGAACATAATAAGGATAGATATTTTTCTGGTAAAACAACATAATAATACTCAATAAATATGAATAATGAATTCTACATGCGATTGATTAACAACACTGATATAAGCTTAATTGTGAGGTTTGTGTAAAAATAGTTTAATTCTGAATATTTTTGTGTGTAATGATTGAGATCGTTTAAGAAACCATTTAAATCTATGGAAAAATGAACAACTGTGCTAAATTCTTAAGCAGTGCCCAATTATAACTTTAAAACCTTTAAGTTTCGTGATGAGCACGTTAACACTGGCATATATCCTCAAGTTCAATCAACTCCAGATGTACTTGTTAGGTCCTGATAAGTATAATGAATAGTAACTTTTGAGATCCATTATGGACCAATACTATACGTATATTTTTATCGTATAATTGTTAATTAACCAAACTATTCATATTCATGTCTCTCTTATTATGAGCTTTATTTTGACCTATGAACTTTTATTATAAGATTTTGCATTCTTGAATGATTCTCTATTTATTAATCACTACCTCCCACATTCACAGCTACATTTGGCCAAATCTTGTATAAATATTGTTTTCTATTGTATGGTACGTTGTGGTCTGTTTGATTAGTATATAAACTCAGTATGTTTGAAATATAATGATTCATATTGCAGTGGCTGAGATTGGCGTTCTGGAGTTAACTGGCTAGGCTAGGCGGAAAGCAAGACAAGTTAGAACTCTAGGCTGCTCGCACGTGTTTTACGCGTCCTTGGTCTGATCGATAATTCACTGCTCTCTGATTGCGCGGTATTATTACGTTACCCATTAACAGGGCATTCAGGCAACAAGCTATAACAGTAGTACAACAATTATCTAGATTGATCTATAAATCGCTACCACATGCTGAATTTCAACTAGATGCAAGTTTTGATTAGAACTTTGGAAATCCACCTCGAAGTCAATCAATATCTAACATATAATCAGTATCGAGTTTAACGATTGATTAAAGATTGGTTCCATTCCAATACAATTTTTGAGAATGATTTTGTAGTTAGCATCTATGTTTTGCTCTACTTTCTACTACAAGACATAACCCCATGTAAATTCCTTAGTTTATTAAAAAACAAATAAATTTGTTATCATCATTTGAAACAATAGTTATACTATTTATGTTTTCTTCGGTCTAAAGACAGCAGAAACAAAGCATAGAAATAATTTTGTAATATTGATAAAAATTTTGGTCAACATCATCATTATTCTTTTTATCATGATTAAAGATAATGATAATATTGATCATTTCAATTGAAATCATTACTTTTTGTTTTAGTCTTCAACAATATATAAATTAGACTGACAAAAATGTCTATGACATGAATAGTAGTTCATGTTTGTTGTAATTGCAGAAGATTTCCAACTATTCATTATGAAAAATAAATATACAAAGTGCAGATTATAAGTTTGGTAGTGACAAATGAAAAAAAAACCTTTTTTCCTGAATATCAATATCATTTGACAATGGCAATAACTTTTGAAGTTCCAACATTAGTGTATGCATTAATCGGGTTGACTGATAATTAAAAAAAAAACACGGTAATACCAAGATGATGTTCAGTAGTTGAAAACCAACCAAATAAAGCTACACAACGGTGAATCCAAATGGTAGTTGATAAGTTTTAACTAGCTTTAATTTCCTTAATAGTGAACATCAATGATTTTTTATACCAAGTTTTTGCGAATTGAGTAATTCAAAAAATAGATAAGATTTTGATAATTCATTGAAGATACGAAAGATAAATGATTAAACCGAGTAGTTGTGCTTAAATACGTTTATAATGCTTTTTGAAAGTATGGTTAAAAAATTCTAAAGCATAATTAAATAATAGGGGTATACCAGTATGAATAAAACTAGCTTTGTATAGAGAAGAGTAGTGATGGACAAATGTGAAAAACTTACAGGAATAGTAAATGATATAAATAATTTTAATGGATACTTAATATTACGACTCTTGAAAAATACCCGGTAAAAATAAAATGTATGATGACATGGCTCAGAATCGTTTGTAATGGCGCAGGTGTATACACTCTTTGTGTTCTCCCAAATTCTAATCTTCTGATTCCTCCTTGTCTATTTCTTTTCTCTTTCCAACTTTATTTCACTGGATTATACTCTTTAAATTACATCTCCAAACCCTAATCTTTCCGATTACTGCTTATACTCATGTTAAACTGACGAATTTCAAAGGTACTGGACTAATAGATTTACATATTTATGAGATTTATAATTAGGAGAAAATATTGTGAATAGTACAATATTATCAATGATGGTATAAATCTCGAGTAAGATGATGTTATCATGAGGTAAAAAGTAATTGAATTATCAATGCATAATCTCAAGCAAAATTAAATTATAACTAACTTGAAATGCACCGACCATCGATCCACGGGACATCCATCCTAGATCACCCCCTGAACGAGCTTTATCTTCACTGTACATTTCTGCTACTTGATTAAAACGTTTACCATTTTTAATTTGTTCTAAAGCTTCTAAGCATTTACTTTGTTTTTCACATAGTATATGACGTACCTTAAATAAAAGTAAATCACAGAAGATTATATTAAAAGCATATATAAGACTTAATCTAAACAGAATAGCTAATTATTACAATACTCCGTAGGTTTGCAATTGGGTTCAGGATTACCAGGTCAATTTAAAAGAAGTGATTAAATTACTTTCGAACAAATGAAAGGATTAAATATTCTAATGGTCAAGGCTTCTACAAAATTATAAATGTAAAACTGCTTTTGTATACAAATTTTAAGGTTTTTCTAAGGTCAATCTTAGTTAATGTAGTAACATTTGGCAGTTATAACACTCATCTGAACAATGATATATGAAGTGTAAGTATTACGTAAGATGTTAACATTAAATGGCAAGATATGTAAAAAATGATCTTGTTTTATTACAGGGAAATAACAAAGCATTAACTAAAATAGAAAGTAGTTTCCACTGAATCGTAATCAAAACCTTAAAATTGCGAATAAGTATTAAGCAAAGAAATAAGAAAGGACATAAAGTTAAGATAATTCCAAAAAGATAGTATTATTTTCCCCAACAGTGATATTTATTTACACTAAATGTTACTGTAACCAACTAAAACATGACACGACAATAATATCTGAATAATTAATACTAGGTATTGTGCATACAATGACAATAACTTTGCAATACTCCTTTAATACAGGATTTACATATTATTATTAGGCGTCTTTATTATATTGAATAAAGTAATCTATACTCCTAATCCACTGACAATGTATGCTCATTTAAAAGTTCTTATTCAATCAAAATTTAAGTTGGTTATTCATTTTAGAAGTTGAAATCACGAGTCGATCTAAGCTAGACCACCATTGAAAACCTGGAATCACTGGACGGTCGTTTCGTCCGAATATGGGAATTCTCAGCAGTGCGCATTCACAAAGTAATAAGAAAAATATTTATTAGAGCTCAGGATTCATTAGATTATTGAGTTTAAACAAAGTTCTGTTTATTTACGTTTGGAAAACCAGGTAGTATCAATGAATGTGATGAAACTAATTGTATCTTGTCCCCTCAAGGAAATTTTTAGTAAAAACGTGAAAAATCTGTTCAGAAATGAAAAAAAACATTAGAGTACGTGTGTGGCTCAGATATGAGTATATGGTAAATGAGTTATATTGTGTAGTTCAATAACGAATATACATATCTTTGACTGCAGTTTGAAGCGAAATGTAGCACTATTGAAGAAATTTAACGACGCCACTGGAAAACAACTACTTACAATCCATATGAACTGGTTTTAAAGATGATAATACATCGCATCAGCAGTAAAGAAAACACAAACTGTTCTACTAATTTGACGTTTGTTACATTTCCATTTGTCGGTAAAACGAAAGTACACCTACTTAAAAAACCTTTCTCAAATCAAATATTCATCATCATAGAAAACAATAATTACGGTAAATCACGATCAAACTAGTAAATCAGTCAACTTGAAGGTATAACCATCATACTGAGTGAGTTAAGGGGATTTTATCAATGATCAATAAGCAACGAGAATAACGGTTAACACTTCATTGACAAATATTCTAGGACATCATAGATCTAATATAAAAAATAAAGGAACTATTCCACAAATGCTGAAAAACGTAAATGAAAACATTGAATTTGAGGTAAACACAATCTAAAATAATACGTATGACAAATAACAAAGCATTTTGTCATATTATATAAGTTACCTTCACCGCATTTGCCAACTTGGACTGCTTACCAGAGCCGGTTGATGATGCATTATCAGTTTTGTTAGAATTAGTTGAACTTTTTCCACTCATCTTACCACTTTTTGAATTGTCACTTTTAGCAGACGACTTTGGCATGATATTATTTTTATTATTGATTCTAGCAATGGCTGTGAAAGATAAAAGCAAAATAAAATTGGTGTTATTCAGCGATCGAATAAACAATTATTATTCCGAAAGGATTATATGGAAAGGAAAAAATGTAGGTGATTTATAGATTAAAAGTCAGCTTAATACAAGTTTGGTTAGGTAGTTAATGGAGCTTTGTTCAATCTGGTAGCTTATCATAGACAAGTCGGTTAGACAAGTGGCAAGGACTGAATAGCTTATTTCGTCACCATTTGGAACTAATAGGAAGTCTGAATGCATTTCGATACAGATTTCCAGTAATCCTTAATTTAACTGACGAATTTCTAATTAAGAAAAATGATCAAGGTTGAGTCATTCAAAATAACTTTGTTTACAAGAAATTCAGTACTTCAAATGTATGCTCTTTTATTCGATAACCTTAAGAATCAGATCAATCAGGATAGTTACAAACATGTAACACTGAAAAACTAATAGTGATATAATATTGAAAGAAATGATCACTACAGATAAGTGCACTAAAAGGGCTCTTTATGAATATATATTATTCATTTATTTGTAAATTATATTCTGATATTAATAACAGATCATCATTTCTAACCTTCATACATCTGTTTTAGATTAACACACAAAATTTAATGTGATATCAGAACAAAGATCCTGTCAAAATAAAGGGTTGAGTAATAATTGAACTAAACAACATTTTGTTATTCATCCTAAAGAACCCTATCAAGCATAGAACTGTTTTGGTTAAATCCAGTACATGAAACAGCTTTTATGCAGAGCATAATCAAATTTAATTGTTTTGGCGCTTAGACTTCAGTTAAATTACAAGTAAATGTAGTAACATTCTATAAAACCGTGCCATTTCATTTAAAATATGTACTATAGCTAATCCATTATTAATAATCAACTTCCTGTCCCACTACACCTATTCGGATTTCAGTAACTAAACAGTATCTAAATGTGAACTTGGTTACTGAGTTTCATCAAATTTAAAATTATATGATTTTCCAACCATCATTTAGCATATATATATATATATATATATATATATATATATATATATATATATATATATATATACATGGACGAACGTGTAAAAGAACATATAAGAATGTACATGAATCCTTTTATCTTTCCAGTTTAAATTATTAACAAATGAGGAAAACCATTCAAAAATAATATTCTGAAGCAAAAGAACAACAGGGAAAATGATTATTCCAAAATTATTGTCTGATAAGATACACAGAGAGAGAGATAAAGGTGTGTGTGTTCAATTCATGTCAAATTATCGAAGAAAAAATTAATGTTATTAATAATATTAAATTTTTACAAGAAATACAGAAGCTGCCATTAATATAACTGCCACATAATTAACTCGACTGGTTGATTCTTAATCCCTTGTGTTTCCGTAGATCCCTTTCAAGACTATAAAAATTAAAATTGTTGTTTAACCTAATACATTCAGTTACAATTAAATATAATTAAAAAACAAAATGTCATCTATGGATTTAAATCACACACATCATTCAAAAGAAGTCTGGTGTTTATTCGTTTTCTCTTTCTTTTTTTCCTTTTTTCTTTTACTAAAAAGGATAAAACACATGAAGTTATCATTTACATTTTAATATTGCCTTCATTGTATTTGAGAAAAATAAAGGGGAAAATAACAAAAATTCTATATTTCAGCATTTAATAAAAAGTAAGTTGCTAACGGATGACCAAAAGAGAAAACATAAGAGTCATAAAAATAGAGCAAATAATAAAAAAGTAGGAATAAACAGTGATTATTATTAACATTAAAAAATAATTCATTGGAAAAACAGCACAAAATCGTTTTCAATACAATCATTATTATTACCGAGATCAGTGTAAATTAAATAACGGTTTACAAAAGTATACACATATATGTATAACAAAGTATTCAAATGATCTAGTGTTTCTCATTTCACCATAAAGGAATGTTAATAATGATAATAATAATAATAAGAATAGTACAGTAACTTCAGAATGTTTGAATAAGTGAATATATACTTGTGTATTATAGTGCTGTTTACTTAAATTGATTTATTGTGTAATACACATTTTGTTAGTATATAAATAATATCGACAAACAAAAAAGACAAAATAAACAGAACAACGTGAAATGCCTTTTTCTTCTTCTTCAAAATCACTATTGAAAATTTCATTATAAACTATTTTACATAATTGATTTAAATTTAATATAATAAACTTAATGCACCAGTATCACTTCCTATTAATAATAAATTATTTTCTGATAATGAACTAATGGCACTAATGGAACCACGTAGAAAATGTGAAGAGATTCTGCCTAAAGTATAAAAGTTTTCATTTATATTATTATTATTATCATCATTATTATTGAATGGATATGAACAAGTTGCTAATATTGTTCCACTATTATTAGTAGTAGTATTGTAGTATGGTTGTGGTACTGTTGTAACAGTTGACAACGGTGTAGTTGATGTTTCGTTTATTATGGATGACAATGATGATTTATCTGAGTTAGTAGTTACATTATTTGTTCCACTTCCACTGCCAAAAATTGGGAAACGACTTGAACTCGGTAATGGATATGATGAAGGTAGAGAATTAGCACAAAATATAGGATTTTCTTGATGTTTAGTTAAACATGTGATATTCTGGAGTGTTGATGGGATTCGAATAGATTTTGGTTTTAAAACAATCGTGGGTTTATTCGGTAAATAATTAAAAGTTTCTAATTCACTATATGAAGTTGATAATGAATCCTGATTGAATTTTGATAAATTAGTTGGATTAATGAATGACAAACTTCGATCGTTACATGATATAAATCCATTCAAAAGATGTGGAATAATCTAAAGTGAATAATAATATCAATATATAAGGAGTTTTACTATATGGAGCTTAGTATGTAATTTACTTAATATGGGAAAAAAATCTGGAGTAGATAACTAACGAATCAACTGTTTACTCGGAGGAGTAATTTTATGCTCCCTGTTAATAACTTAAATGGCAGGGTGAAAAATTCATGAGTAAGGTAGCAATCTGTTCCGCTGAAAGTCAAGGTATTCCACCAAAATCTACAGAAGCATTCCCTGTGACCGAACTGCTATATATTGGGTCAGTGAAAACTGCCGAAAAACTCGATTGGCCAAATGAGTGTCGGTGCAGTTGGTGAAATCAATCCACTTATGGTAAAATCCAGGACGATTATAAGAATCTGATCCATATTTGTCGTTCTTACATTAAGTTTCAGTGATTTAAGGATGAAAAATAAAGGCCACCTGTTCAATTGGAATTTTGAAAATTTTGAATATAGAATAAACATTCGGTAACTTGCTTCATTTTAATACAATATGTTAGTGTTTTCACTCAATTTCAAACTTGGCATATATCAATGAAAGATTTATTCCACGTTTATGTTGAGATATTAAAGCTCCAGTCATCATGTTGGTATCAAACGAGATGAGCGCTAGTTCGACAAGCGAAGAAACATACTCTAAGTATATAATCGGTATACAAATCATGTATAATCTGATAGACTGATTTTACATGTTGATCTGATATTTCACACATTTTCCTAATATTTCTACTGAATAGTTTTACTGTACATGAGTGATGCTATATGTTGGAAAAATAAACTTCTAACAATTTAGCTTTTATGCTCAATCCAAACATATTGACGATTTCTTTTTGGTCAATATCAACCAGCTCTGATAAACGATTCCAAATAACGGATGAAATATTTTTATGTGACGCTTATCACAAACACTGTTGCAAACTTCGTTTGAGCTATTATTTAAAGAATATTTTGTATTCACCTCATTGTTGTTATTAACAATGTAGAGTTGTGTGAAAAATCATTGACCGAACAGTGTACACATTGGGAAGAACCATTAGTTTCACCCTTTACAAGTGTGGAAACTCTTAGTTAAGGTGTACATAGTGTTTTAAAATTTTTAATCGTAGTAGAGATAGATTTAAGAAAATAATTAAAACCATGAAACAAAAACGAAAAACAAATTACTCACATCAACGACTGAATCCTGATATTCTCTCCATATGTGAATAACTTGTCCCATTCGTAGATCTAATGCAGTAATTATGCCTGTTGTAAAACCACACAATAAATAATAACCGTTTCGACTAGTTGTTAAACAATTTAACAAACCAGTCATATTCGTATTAGCGTTTAGTAGAGAAGAAATTGGCGAATTACTATTTGTATTAGTAAACGAATTAATTGATAAATGATACGGTTGAAATTGATTAGTTATGTTCACCATAATATTTGTGATAGATAAATCCATTGTAGACTGATTGTAAAAAGAAGGAGCTTTTGAATAGATAGAATGAAGGTAAAAAAAATACAGGTAAGAAATATGTAACGAAATCTAAAAACAGTCCGTCAATTAAAAACACATAGCTTGTTGAACCGAATCATTTGATAATTAAAGAAAACAGTGATTTAGCAGTAAAAGAACTCAGCTTTCAACTATTAGATCACAATTTCGAAGTCCCTTCAGTTCTATACTCAGTTTATACGTTTGGGTGAGTACCACTAGAATTTATACAAAGCATGTGTCTAAAAATCAAGTAATCGAATATGTACTTGAAAAATGAGTTAGTTATAGAATGTTCTTTTTTTATCGTTAAATTTAAAAAAAAAACAGCATATGATGTACAAGAGAATAAAACATTCAAAAAAGTGATAAGAAGTAATAATTATTTCTAATATGATGGTTAGAAATACAGAGGTGTATGGAATACACTGTTGATTCAATTTATTGAGCTGGTTGAAAAAGAAGACAAATGATTACGTAAACATTGAAAATCAAACATTAAAAATAGTCTAATTTGTAAAAACCTAAATTATATTATATGAGTAGAAATAGCTAGACTATGACATAACTTGTAAAACAATAATATTCATATTCATTGTTCAGTTGAATAAATAAACCACACCTATACAAAATAAAATC